TCCATGGTCACCTTCGTAGATACCAGGATAGTCTTCTCGAATCCACTCATCAGGTCGCATCTCGTAAGGTTCATCCATATACGGGTACGGCGTACAGAGCTGAGGTTCCGTCCACCCACTGTCTCGCATTGCGTCTAGCGCGGCTTCAGGTACTGCACCACGAGCAACCACATCAACTCCACCAACCGTGGCGAGTAGATCGGGTGTAAAGTGAATGTCGGTCGGGGAGTCGTTTTCTTCCTCAGAATCTGGGTTGGGCTCAACCCAGTCAAGTTCGTCATCGTCATCGTATACAGAATCGCCTTCGCACCCGCCATCGGAATCAAGGGCAGCATATTCACCAAGACCTTCGTCAGCGGTTATGATATTCGGATCTCGTAACGTGTCTGATACAGCACAAAACATACACGTTAACATATTAAAAGCGTATCGGTATTGTGTCCGGTACATGTTAATCCAACCTGTATTTGGGGTGTTGCCTGGAGGCTCCGTTTCTTTTGTTTCTTCATCGATGGGTTGCGGTCGATGTGTAGCCAGCGTGCCCTGGTTCGCCTGAATGTCACGTCCAGCATCACCACCGTCTCCAGCGTTGACAACACCTTCAAAGTCCGCCTCCAAATTGCGCTGTACTGCTAAATTCAACAATAGATTAGCATGCGGACCATATCCACTCAACAAAGGTACCTTCAGAGTCATCCGGTACTGGTGTGCCATTCTGCGAACAGCTCTCACTCTCTTCATCACTGGCCATCACGTGCGGGGACGTAGGGATGAGGCGCTCGCCTAGTGATGTGTGCTCTGGGGTTACTATATCAAATACATACGATCAGTCAGATTCTACCAGTTTGACTTGTGTTCAACCGGTACCTGCAGGGGAGGTTGTACTGCCCTCAACAGCAGCTTCAGATGGACCAACTCGATGTTCTGTAACATACACGATAAGGTCAGGTGCATATCGTGTATTATACAATTTGTAGGATGCATACCTCCGGATGCCGATCCGTCGTGGACAGGCTCGTTCTGGGCAGCGATTGTCCGTCCGTAAACATCACGGTCCTTCTGCTTCTGACGCATTCGGCCTGCTGGTATGTTAATTAGGTTTGATTCTTATATCGACACAACCCATTGCACCCTTACCCAGAGCTAAGCGGTCCAAGTGATCCATTAACTCCTTTTCGCCAAGGAAAAAATCTTCGCCTCGCACGCCCTTCTTCGTTTTCCCAGGTTTTATGTAGAAGAAGTCGTTAGATAATTCAACGGGTGGCTTCGACGTCCAACCGTCGCGCTTGAGCTCTCTCCAGCAAGACTTGAACGTCATGATTCTGTGCGCGACTGGTGTAGTGCGGGCAAAGGTGGGGGGAGATTTCGAACTAACGGGAAAACTGGTGGCGCGCAATTGCACCTCTGATTGCGGATATAATTGTGTGTATCACATAATAATATCTGCAAAAACTTATTTTCTAAAAAATCCGACGCGTCACAGCTTTGCGAGCATTTGCACACCTATGTAATTGTCAATATCTTGGGATGGGAGGAACCTACCCCTCCTTGACGTTAAATTTGTAAGGGACTATACAAAAACGCAGTGTTACATTCGTTAACGTGTCTGATACAACATCAAGGATTTTTGCTAACGTGCCTGATACAGGCTCTCGGGTTTGGGGGGTTAAACTTGGGTCATTAAGTGGCACTTGATCTTGGAGGCCTCCATCGTATTAATACCTCTGTTCGTTAGGAATTGCTACTATATATGATACAACGCACTCAAAAGTTGTATCGAGAGCCTTTTACAAACTTCAAGTTAGTTTTTGTCCTACATACCGTCAGAGTAAATATAAGTCTTCTTAAATTTGCTTAATCTCGTGCTTATGGACATGTAAATCTGAGGACTCGTGTAAAACGGTCTTTATACAGTAATGCTTCGGTACGAAGTAAACGTACAGCCCAACTGGGATCAATTCATGTCCGTGTGTTGTATTTTGCACACAGTTTCATGTAATACAAATATCAAGTAAATCCATTTATATTTTGTCACATTCGCATGGATTTCTACGAGGTATCGAGCTACAGAGTGAAAATCATTCATAATCGCATTGACTTAGAAAGAAAAAAAATTATGGGTTCTGGCGTTTGTGTGCACCTGGCCTGCGTTGTTGTTGTAGTAGTAGTTGTCGTCGATGCATTAACTGATCCGGATACGATCCCGCTTTCATACTCTTATACCGTACCTCACAAAAATAAATGATTAATTGCGAACTGCTGTCGACTTTAACTTTCAAATATTTCGGGAAACTGCTATTTTGTGTTAAAAAAAAAATTGGTAGGAAAAAAAATATCATCGGTCAAAAATCAGCCAGAAAGACATATGAGCGAATTCATACTTTCTCAATTGTAGTGGTGCGTAACAGACCAACATTCACTGGGCGATGCTGATCGCCAAGCTGGCAAGGTTAGTAATAATAGGACATTGGTAACAAAACCACCACAGCCAACAGAGCGGCCGCTGAGATCACTTACACATCTAGCCTAGGACGAATAACAGAGTTTTGGTTTGCCTGGAAGCGCCAGCTTCCTTCGTAGTGTTCCGAGACCTACTACATCAATGCAGTAAAGAACTGATGTATTGATATAGTAAATCTTTTAATCTTCCACGTGTTGGTTCTGAAGCAGCGCACAATACAGACCGTTTTCCTTAAGTCGAGCGATGTTCTGTTCTGCTGTACGCGGGTCTTGACCAAGTCTTTTGAGCATGTACTCAACTTACGACTATCATTTTGGTCTTCGTTAATAACCGACACAGCTTCCTCAATCCACTGAATTACTTGAACACGATTTACGTTGTACTTTCCATCGGCAGGGATCAATTGTTTCATTTTCCAGCTTAGAAATTGTTTCTTTATGCCAGTCTAAGAGGTCTGCATATAGAGAACAATTCGGATTTGAGTTTGAGCATGGTTTATCTGTGTTCGCACCTCTTCTACTCTCAGCTACCGCTCGTTTGACTTGTTCTGAGGCAAAACCGTCTCCACGAAGACAAGAGGGATACTTCCAGTTAGCAAATGCTTAGGCGGTTGTAAGTTGTTCTTTCATCTTAAAATCTAATTTTGTTTAGAAGATGTGAAATCTGCTATTTTGTATTTAAAAAAAATCTTCCAAACAGAATAAAACACGCGAAATCGCCGACCTGCTGTTTTTCTGTTAAGCATTACAGTGGTGCACCTCGTTTTCGACACCGGTATGCCTCTATAACCTTCATAATTTGATGATTACGCTCGGTGCTTTGCGCAAATCGTTTGCTGGCTGAATTAACCTCAATGGTTTTCCCGGAAGGAT